GAATAACGGTCGAGCATATACGTTTTGCCGGGGGTCCAATTCTGGAGATTCTGCTATGTCTATTTCAAAGTGTGATAAATAACGAGTTTACACCCTTAACCTTTCGTACCGGAACTCTCATCCCCCTCTTAAAAGGGGGTGTGCGGGACGTACTTGACACTAACCATCACAGGGGTATAACACTCATGTCAGTCATACGGAAATTATACGACAAAATCATATTAGGAAGATACAGTTGGCGTTTAAAGTCGATTATACATCCTCTACAAGGAGGTTGTCTTGATGGGTGCTCCTCGCTACACTCATCACTACTTCTGCATGAGACAATTGGATTTAATACCCATCGTGACAGCACCGTTCACGTGGTGTTATTAGACATAAAATCTGCCTTTGATACGTGCTGGATAAACGGCCTGTTTTACAAACTGTACCATAAGGCCGGGATTAAAGGGAAACTCTGGCGATTGTTATATGACTCGTACAAGAACTTTGAATGTAATATCCTAGTAGCAGGGGGAGTATCCGAACCCTTCCCGGTGCTCCAAGGGGTATTTCAAGGAGCCGTCAGCAGTATGCTGCTCTATCAATTTTACATAAGTGACTTGTTGGACGACCTTGAAAAATTAAATCTTGGAGCAAAAACCATGGGAATCAACACAGGCTCTATAGCATACGCAGATGACATTGCTCTCATTGCTATCTTCCCTAATGCAATGAACACTATGCTGCAATTAGCTTATGCCCACAGCAACAAATGGCGATACACCTTACACCCTGGGAAATGTGTAGCCCTGACCTATGGCAAAAATACTGAGGTCCCACAGTTCAGGTTAGGAACGGGCGAAATACCAAATGCCAAATCTGCCAAGCATGTCGGAATTCCACTGTCGACAGATGGAGTATTTAGGGACCATGTTAAAGACGCTGTATCAAGCGGAAAGCGAAAACTATATTCACTATTCGGATTAGGTCATAGAACTGGTGGCCTTACCCCACTCGTAGCATCAAAACTGTATAATAGCTTTAGCGTGCCAAAAATGCTCTATGGTGACCAGATAATTAACTATAAGCCTGAAGATCTTGAAACACTCGAAGTGGCACAGCGCCAAATTGGGAGAAGATTACAAAGTTTTCCTAAATCCGCCAGCAACCCCTCGTCAACCATGACACTGGGATGGAACACAATGAAGCGGAGAATTGACTATGATATGCTACTTATGTTATTTGGAATGCTTATTTTACCACTTTCGAATATTTATAAACGTTTATTAATGTTAAGACTCATGAATATAACTCTAGGATTGGCATCATGGGATTCCCCAATTTCCAGAATGTGGTCTTGTGTTGTAAAATATGACCTCACAGAGAGCTTACTAGAAATGATACGTACAGCACAATTTCCTTCTAAACTTCATTGGAAGAGACTGATTAAAAACACAATCGGTAATTACCAGAGAAACGGTTACAAGGCAACATGTTCGTTATATAGACGCCATGATATATGTGTTAACATTTCCGATGTAAATATACGTGTCGGATCCCTTGGATCTATGAAACCCTGCGTCTGGTGGATCTTGGCAAGGAAAAAACCACAATATACCCCGCAGTGTAAAACAATGGTGAGACTAGCCACTGATTGTCACGATCTACGCGTAAAAAATTCAGGTGTAAATAGTATTTGTATTGTCTGTAACAGGTTCGAAACAGAAACAATTGATCACTTTATCATGAGATGTCCAAAATGGCAAGAACATCGTAACCAAATAGGTTTAATTACAAGAAAATACGGTGCTTTTAAAGTACTAGATAAGATATTTGCATATCCCGAGTGTGAAATTGATGACGATGATATGATAAGTATTGCATGTATAGTGCATAAAATGACTATTGTTAGATCAAACATTCTGAAAGAATACGTTGGACAGTTGATTATTAAATAATAAAGACACTCTTGAAAGAACCAATGTCCCATAAAACATAAACAGTATGATTCCATTTAAAATGGAAGCTTTTTATTTAATTGTGTGATGTTACCAAATGTAAATATGTTTGTAAAACCACTCTGTTTAAATACAGGTAAATAAATAATTAAATTAAATTAAATTAAATTATAGCGTGGACTTAATGATATTTAGTCTATGCTGTGTATTCTCTTGTATGTCGTGTGGATATGTTAATGCTATGAAGTCTATGCTGTATGTTCTATGCTATACCGTGGGGTTTTATGCTTTGCAGTCTATGCTGTGCATTATAGCGTGGACTTAATGATATTTAGTCGATGCTGTGTATTCTCTTGTATGTCGTGTGGATATATTAATGCTATGAAGTCTATGCTGTATGTTCTATGCTATGCCGTGGGGTTTTATGCTTTGTAGTCTATGCTGTGCATTATATATAGCGTGGACTTAATGATATTTAGTCCATGCTGTGTATTCTCTTGTATGTCGTGTGGATATATTAATGCTATGAAGTCTATGCTGTGTTCTATGCTATGCCGTGGGGTTTTATGCTTTGTAGTCTATGCTGTGCATTATAGCGTGGACTTAATGATATTTAGTCTATGTTGTGTATTCTTTTGTATGTCGTGTGGATATATTAATGCTATGAAGTCTATGCTGTATGTCCTATGCTATGCCGTGGAGTTTTATGCTTTGTAGTCTATGCTGTGCATTATAGCGTGGACTTAATGATATTTAGTCTATGCTGTGTATTCTCTAGTATGTCGTGTGGATATATTAATGCTATGAAGTATATGCTGTATGTTCTATGCTATGTCGTGGGGTTTATGCTTTGTAGTCTATGCTGTGCATTATGGTGCGGACTTTATAATGATATTTAGTCTATGCTGTGTATTCTATTCTGTGCCGTGGGGCTAATGCAATGTAGTCTATACTATATATTCTATGCTATGCAGTCCATGCAGAGTAGTATACTCGGTGGGTTACCCAATAACAAAGTATTCTAGGTCGAAAAGTAAACAAATAGTTGAATAGATGGACGGATTCATAGATTTATTTCACAGCTTAGAACGATACATGATTAATGTTTATTTGATATCACAATTCTATAAATAATGTCTAATCTTTTATCAAAAATAAAACTCAGTGTTCTTTAAATTGAAAATTGAAAAAATGAATTCTATGAGTGTAAAAAAATATTAAACTCCATATATGTTATTCTCTGGAATATAGTCTGACATTGTGACGGAATCCATAAGACTGCAGAATTAATTTCAATTCAATGTTGTTTCCTCTTAATGCGTAATCACGATTACTATTTGCATCTATAAGATCCCAAGGCAATAAATAAAATTGTATAAGTTTAATATTATTTGTTGCTATGGTGATTAAATCCTGACATTTTTAAAGCTTCATCACTGTAGAAGTTACTCGGTTAAATTGATAGCATAAAATTAAACCTATTGGAAACACTGCTATTTTTATGTAGCACTTTATCGTTTATTCACAATGAAAATATCGACCAGTAGTCTATTTACATGGAAAAATCAACGAAACAGGGAGGATTCAGACAGAACATTTTCCAATTGCCTCATTTTAAATCGTTCCTGAACTTTTTAGTACAATCCAAAATGTGTATATTTCAATATTTATATAAAGTCTTGTACATGCAAAACATAGAATACAGTAGATTGTTGACATGCCTGAGAGTTCAAGCAATTTACATCAGTTACAAAGTCATTAATATAAGTTATTTTGAATGTCAGAAATGCTTATTTTTTGCCGACGTTGTAGTTTTTCTATATAAATTTGAAAAAAAATCTGTTAGAAATTTACATTGTTTGTTCAGTGTGCATTATATGAAACATCAAGCACGACTGCTTGGGTATAGCTTGAGATGTACAAAGCACAAAGCGACACCTTTGACGACAGTATTACGGTGTGCTTTATATGAAACATCAAGCACGACTGCTTGGGTGAAGAGACGTACAAAGTACAAAGCGAATTCGAATAGAACACTACGTAGACATATTTAAAGTAGTAGTTATGATACATATTATGAATCAATATTTAGTCTCCCGACCTTTCCGTATATACAACAAATCACTTTAGAAGTTACATAACGGATCGACTTTCATCAGAAATTGCATCCCAAGTGCGTCTGACTATAGATATGGATGAGATTAATCCACACGTCTATTAATTGAAATCCATTTGACACCGCTCATTCTCCATTATCCGAACTGCAATCATAGATATAGGATATATTGACTCTATTGAGTTCAATACCTTTGGACGGTGCAGCAAGGTGAATACACCACGGTCGTATTTCCTAGCTGCAAAGAGTAAACCTACTTTTACACCGCATTTGATGAATTATTAATTGCAGGTGTAATTCAATTGTTATTGACACAATAAATAAAGTTTATATGTAACGACTTGTTTACAAAAATAATCAATCAGAAACAGAGTTTATGAGTAAAATAATTTCTTTCGATATTCCGACTGGAACGTCATTATAGAAGGGGTTTGTCTTCAAAGACCCCTCCAGTCCTTCATATTAGTATTCTTGGCTCGGCAATTGAATATGATCAAATAGCATGTCGAGAATTAAAGTTTTTCGATAGGATCAATTCTAAAACCATCAGCAGTTGGGAGAAAATAATAACGTTACAACATTTATGTCATAAATCTAATAACATATGATCAATCAAAATTAAATTCAAACCAAGATTCCAAATCTAATTATGAAAGGAGGAGTTTCTATATAGCTTTGAAATCTCACTATTTCTTCTTTTTCTTCTTTTTAATAGCACATTTGAATTCAGTGAAAAGTGTTCTACCATAATAACTTTGATTTATTACAGTTTTGTTATTCAAATCATTTTCCTTGCTTTTTTAACTATTCTAAAAATATCTTGAGCCAAAGAAGTTCTCTAAAACTACGGTTAATCACAATATGTACATTAACATGGTCATCCCTAAGTATGCCATTCGAGTTCTAGACAGATTCAACCAACAGTTTTTGATAAATCATGAAACTAAGTGACTATTGCAAGCTTTTAACATTGTAAATGACAGTCTGGCCCAACTAAAACAACTAATGCCAGTAGTGACATCTATTAATTCAGCTTTGTTCAGCTAGATAGAAACTACATCATTGTGATAGTTCGAACTAAGTGTAACGCATGTACACTCTCATCCATAAGTTTGGGAATCGGAAGAGGTTTTCTTTGGATAGCAAACATGGATGTATCAAAGTCTGCCAGTGTGTTCCTGAGTTACAAAAATTCGGGAAATAACAAAATTTGATGAATTATTATAAATCGCCAAACATGTATAAGCTTTAATAAATAATCCCAAAGGGGAATTCCTGTTGCCAAACTTATGGAAAGGAGTATATTTTGATTCCTGTATCAGGAATATCAGGAATGCGTGTTCCAAGAGTTTAATTTCTCTCCTCTATTGGTTTTAACAGTTCTTAATTACAACATTTTTCACGTTTTGTTTATTTCCAGTAAGAGCCACTCCAAGCCATATGAAAAGGGAGTAGGCTAGTAATCTCCGGGACGGGGAATAAGATACGTTTCACCGGCTATAATGATGCATTATACTATCATTTGGACGGATTTATCACAGAACTATCATCCTTTTAATGAGTAGGTCATCAGCCTAAAATTGCTGTGATTGAATTGTGAATTGATTGTGTTGCGACTCATTGTCACTCTATGACGCTATCACTCGACGCTTCGGTCGCCTCGGCGCTGACTGCTCTCCAGACGCCTCCTTGACCATAGCTTTGAGTCGCAGTATTTCACGAATCGGAACATCTGTTAAGTTTACAGGTTCCCCACCACCATCACCCCACGCTTGACCCGTGCCTTCACCACGTGCACCAGCGTTAGCAGCAAGAATATCTGACATTGTGACTGGCGTTCGAGGTCGGCGTATGTCACTAAAATCATTTCCTGAAGAATATGATCTTTCCATCATCGATGGTACGTAGGCGTTCGCGGAGCCACCCCGATCTTGGCGTCGGCCAGCTTTTGGCGGCCCTGGTATATGAACTATGTCAGCAGACTGTTTCCTTTTCTTTGGCTGGAAGTCTTTATCCAGGTCTTGAATAATATCATCTGCTTCGCGGAGATCATCACGTGATTCCTCTCTGATTTCCTTCGGCTTTTCTTTTTTGCTTTGTGCTTCGGTCGGCTCCTCAAACCCTGAATCAGTTGACCGTACTGATTGTGATTTTTTATCGCTTGCTTTAGCTGATAAATCAGACCGTTTTGCCTTTTTCTTTCCCTTCTTTGGTGTCTTCTTTTCCTCTTCAAGTTCTTCGAAATTCTTCTCTGACTTTTCTGTTTCTGTCGCTGTTACGGCGATTGCGGCGGCTGCAGCGGCCTTTAGTTTGCGCTTTGATTTCTTAATAGCGGCTTCCGTCGGACTATCTGCCGCCACCTTGCTCTCTTGACCCTTCTTTTTCTTTTTAGTAATCTTTGACTCATCTTTATCAGACGTTTCGTCTTTATCTTTCTTCTTTTTCTTTTCCTTTGTAGGAGTAGATGCTTCACCACCATCTTCTTCAATTGCCATAGATGTGTTAGATTTAGCTCGACTTCCCGCTTTACTTCGTTTTGATAATTTCGATACAGCACTTGCTGCTGCTTTTGCTTTCTTTCCCTTGCCTACCTTTTTCTTTTTAGTTTTACTAGCTTTGTCATTGTCAATTATCGTTTCATTCTCTGTGGCAACCACGTTATCCTCACGAGGCGTAATCGCACCTGGTACTTCCTGTAAACCTTCATCAATCTCGTTGTCTTTAGCAGATTTTCGTGACATGCTTTCTTTTTCAAGTAGAGCGGTCGTTGAGGTTGTTGAACCTTCTAAACTATCATGTGGTGCCTGGTCGTCATCGTTATACTCCTTAGCGACATAGCCATCCTCAATGTGAAGCATCGAGTCATTAGCCAAGAGAGACTTGTTATCGCATGCATCCATAGTTGCACCATTATAAAAGTCAGTGTTTATTTTGGTATAGCCAGTGCCAACTGTAGGTTCCGTTGTTTGGTTCTCAACAAAAAGAGCCCTGCGTTTTCGCTGTCGACAAGCCTTGCACAGTTTAGCGAACAAGTATATCAGACATGATCCTCCATAGCAACATCCTAGCAATGGGAGTACGAGACACATTACGACATTATTTGAATCTTGAAAGAACAGATAGATTTGCTGTTGCCAGGGAATATACGGAGCTGGTGTTGGAGGCGGTGTTAGAGTGTCAGGGTCTGAAAAATAATTTAGATATTTAGTAAATACTTAGTTATGTGCACTGTACATATCAACTGGAATTCCTAAACACATGAATCTGTCATAAGCTATAGTAGCAATCGTAGCAATCGTACCTAAAGGCTTAGCACACATAAACCAATTGCTGAGCCCACACGATTCAGTCTTGAGGCTCCTGTGGTAGCCATCTACAATGACACACTTGTAGTCCATCGTATTGTTGCCCGTATCCCATGTATTCACATACGCTGAAATATAATGGAATCAACATTTAAGAACTTAAGCCCTGGACTCAGTGCAATTTGGAATGGCCATTCCTTGAAGGTGTTGTTTTCTAAATCTCGAGATGCAAAGCATCGAGTGTCGATTTTAGGAAACAACGCCTGGAATGAATGGTCATTACACAATGCATTGAGTCTTGGGCTTCAATTCTTTTCACACATTGCAAAATATTTTCTACAAAATCATCTTAGGAAACGAAATCACCAATAGAACATATTTTCAATGAAACTTTTTGCAACGGTCAATCTGGCAAAGTATCAATTTCAATCTGTAGAGTCCAATCATCAACAACCGTTTAACTAGTGACCTTGAGTTCGTTATTGGTTATTATATATCGGAATGCAGTAACGCGAAATAGCGTGTTCTGATTGGCTGGAATTGGACACATTCAACATTCAATAAATTCAACATTGGACTGCATTCAATTTATCTATTCAAGAGTTCGCAAAGTAAAAAACTAAATGCTGAACCAATCAACGACGATGTCACCAAGCGAGGGTTTGACTAAATGAGACCAGAAGAATATAAATAGGGTAAGGGTGAGAGTAAGGATATTGGGAAAGTCCCGATGCAAATATATCTGCCCGGGGGCCGAATGTCCCAAGGGCCGATATGAATTATATTACTCAAGGAATAATGTAAATATAGTGAACCGACTCTTTGATGAGCTGTTTATCAATATACTTTCCAAACATTTCTCGAATAGCTAACAATTTTGAAGCGTCTGAGACTTCCCTGGTAATATTAGAAAGAGTGACTTCCCTGGTAATATTAGAAAGAGTGAGTCCAACTGGACCAGAAGTACGTTGTTGGCGAGAGTAATTAAATCCATTGAATTGCCGTTGTTTAACACGGCCAAGATCGACGAGAAATCATTATAACGCCATACCGATTACCATAGGGTACCTGTATACCCAAACACTATATTCTGTTCTGTAAGTAACTATAAAAAGTAATTATTCACCAGGAGGGATTTGATGTGGAGAAGATCTCAAGGATGATATTGCTCTGACCATGGTATAATATAATCCCGGAAATATAACATACATGAGGGATAGCATGCCAAAAATGGACTTCTGATATATGCTTACCCGAGTGGATGTATGTCTGATATTCGTTGGTGCTGTGAAATATGTCACCATGTTGGTATATTCCAATCCACACCTCCTCGTCCCTGGAAGTACAAATGTAGTTATAAGTTATAGTGAACTACAACATACTTACGGTGAAACATGTGTCAGTGGAACGCTCGGTTTCCACTTATTAGGTTTAGTATAAGATGAGTCAACGGGTTACTGACCTTTTAAAAACGTCCAAGGAAACATTTTTCTATAGCACATGCGTGTATTTTCAACAACCAGGTCTTGAGAAATAGCTATTTCATATTTTCAAAATTAGAAACTATGATGGTTACGGTCCAGCACAGAATTAATAAAAAAATTGGAAAATTAAGGTCCATTTTTTGATAAATTGGCCTAATTTCCGAACCCACAATAGGGGAGGAGGACCCCATGCCCCCCCCCCCCAGATCCCCCACTGCCTTCTAATTTGAAAAGGTCGACATACGGAAATCCAACAGAATCAAGCAGTCCAAGAGTGGTATTCAGGGCAGTTTCAATTTGCGTTGTATTTGAGCCAGTGAAAACAAGAAGATCGTTGTCCTGCTTGACACACTCCCTTCTAGCACGTTCCCAATTAAGGTCTGTTGGTCTCAGGTTGACGCCATCGTTGTCTGTGTCTATAGGGGCTGAAAATGAAGAATTCAGAGTGAGAGCAGAAGGAAGGTCGGATTAAAACACGAAAAGAAGGATAGAAACATATCACCTAAAAATCTAAGGAATGTTTTCTATCGAAAATCTAGTGTTCGGTTTTATTTGATGTATTTTACAGTGTAGTTGACTCATAAGCAGGGAGATGAGCATGATATCTACAATGACGAGATTGAATCTTATTCCATTGTCAAAATTGTTTCAGGTTCTAGTAGCAACGCCTTGTCAACGAGTAGATAACTATAAAAACGATCAATTCGAATAATTGTAATAAAAAATATAGAACGCACATTATGAATTATTAAACTAGTTATTCATTCTATTAAGTGACTCCTTTCAAGATTAATTCTCCACATCATAAAAACCAACCAAAAACAACGATTATTGTAAATATATTTTGCTTTTGTACCTGATAACTCTTTCACAACTACGTCAAGTAATTTGATTCATGCCTCGTAAACAACGCTTGGGTGGTTTTAACAATATAAGACAACTATAATAATTCATATTTTCATTGAAACACTAGTTATTATACCAGCGTCGAACAAAATACGGTATATCATATGTAGAATTTCCCAACTGGAAGAAATAATTGTATTGTAATGAAGTTAAAGTACCGGTTCACAGCCGTAAGCAGTCTTAACATACATTATTTACGTTTCTAAAGTCGACAAAATGTGTTGAAGTGGAAGTTATCATGGTTGAATATTAAACTGGTAAGCGAGTACACACTGCACAAAACGTGCAGCCAAAAGTTCGAAAGTTGCGCAAAGGTACCCTCGGACTTATAAGGCAGATCACGGACTCAAGGGACAATATTATCAACTCGAAGTAAATCTGAGTTTCGAGTGAGCAATTCTAGTATTTACTATTCGCAGAACTAGTATTGCCGAAAAACCCTGGACCCCCTCTACTACTTCAACAAACTAAAGTAGAAGATATATTTTCGTAGCTATACTTGATGAACAATTTTCCAACTAGATCTCTGTAGACACAGCAAACACATAAAACTATAAGAGTATAGAATGTAATCTCGACATATGGTTTCCCTTTACTTATCGAAACCTCAATAAGGGTTAATGTACTGGGAGGTTTTGGATACAAGGTTTATCCCAAGGGAAATATGTGTATCTCCCGAGGGACCACGGGGACCGAGGGATACACATATTTCCCGAGGGATAAACTCTGTATCCGAAAGCGACCGTACATAACAATTGTATTAGAGGCTGACGGTAATTCCGGTTATACGGTTTCGGTACGGAATTGAGCATTTACCGGTATTGAAATTATTAACCGGTTAACCGACGATAATCCCCGGCGAAATAAAAGACACGTCGTTTTTTAATTATGATTTCGTTTTATTTCCACTTTCACGATGCGTACATTTACATAGACATTTAGATGTCCATGTTTGGCATTTCAGGTGTGCTGTCCATGTTTGGCAGTAAGGGTGTAGTAGCTTCATTCTCAGGCTCAGATTTGGTTGTAGTTATGTTTGGCAGTTCAGGTGTAGTTGTAGTGTCAACGTCAGATCCAGAAACTGAATTATGTTTGTAATAGTCATTTACGAACAAGGCATTGACAATAAGTTGAATTAATATAACCTACATTTCGTATTATATTTGTAACTTTAATATTTTGTGATAGTATCTGAGCTTTTAATTGTGAATAAAATAAAGTAAGCTCTCTGCTAAAGTGTTTTAGCAAACAAATAAATAAAAGAATCTGAACTCCCGTGCCTTTCGTAAGTTTTAATTTTTAAATCTAAATATAAACGAAATATATATTAACATACGTTGGCAATTAGAGCCCTTATCATCTTTTTGTAAGTCGGATGTAGGAGGGTTGCTATAACGTGGGGACGGAATAACTCATCATATTATATATATATTATATTATCAATACAGTTGAGAAATGGTTTGAAATGTGTAATACATTTAATTTAAAACGAAAAATAGTCTTGATTCGTAAGATAGTTACATACTATTTCGTGAAGTTCACCGGTATGGGTTCAAATCGGTCTTGCACCATGTATGCATATAGACTTAAGAAGCTATGGAGAGAGTTAGGAACAAAGTGGGGGTGGCAGCGCATTGGCATTTTATCTTACATATTTTTACCGGTATTTCGGTAACGGTACGATTATTGGCGTGACGGTTACCGGTACTGGTTTTCAGTACCGTTGCGACCTCTAAATTGTATTCTATGCCTACTAACTTGGTTATCGCTTGATATTGAAAATACATTTTGTAATTACAATGCTGTTAGTGACATATTATTGGATGTTCGTGTGTTAGCACAATATACAGCACTTTACAAAATACTACTGAATTAAGCAGAGGCCTCGGGGATTACTTAAAAACGTCAATAACCATCCTTAGCTAGACTATTTTGCTTCGAATTTTACTTTCTCTGAATAAACGTAACGTCTCCGTCTGATGATATATATAATTCAACATTAATAACATAATCTACTTAAAACATTCAAAAATTATGAAGGAATAAAAGCAAAATATCAGCGAATGTCTTTTGTGATTTTTATGTCTGTTGTGCGTTTGATGCACCATAAGAAGGAAAGCCCCAGAACTTAGGAGAAGACAGACGTACTGTTTAACCTTCGTTTGTTCACCGGCTAAATTAGTTTCCAAATACCACACCGCCATCGACGTTAGCATATTCCTTACACATTGTTTATCTTGATGTGAAATGACAAGTAATGATGTTGGTTCACACGCAAGATATTAACTATCGAAGCGTTTCCCCACCATACCTTGTGCTATATGTGACTCAAGCGCGTACATCACTATGAACACTTAATTACAGGAAACGAAAGAGATAGAAAATATTAAATGACAAAAGCATTTTTCAAAAATGACATTGTTTCCTTTAGAATTACAATATTGATCATAATTAAAGAAAAATGAATTGAGATATCTGATCCAAAGTACACAAGCAATTTGAGATTTAAGATGTAGAAATCTATTTGAATTAAAAAGGGAAAATTTCACTTTTCGAAACCATCGAAAAATTAATGTAACAATCGAAGAATTATTCTGAAATCAGAACTTTTAATTTTCTTTGGAAAATAGGCGTGACATGAATTGATGAGAGCTGAAATTCTTCTTTCAGTGAATTGTTTTTAAGTTTTAATCAAGAAGAACGTTCTTACTATGGTTACCATTGGCTCGCAAGTGGTCTATTTTAATTGTTTTATGCAAAAACAAAAAGTGTTTAAGACTGAAACGCTGATAATGTTATCGTTTGATATAAGAGGTGTTTATTGCAAGATGGACGTATATTAAATGTGCACAGGATATTGTCCACACTAGCTATCTATACAATCAATTAATTAAAAACCGTCCGTTGTTTGCTTTTAATCAAACGGAATTCTCCACGGGCGTCCTAGCAGTAGAGAAACTAATCATGCTTGATGAAATATAACTTCTGATCCATTAATACTAAGATCTCTCTACTGCTTCACTTTATATGATAGAGAATCCGCGAGACAACATTAATCTGAAATCTTCCTGCACAAGTTAATTACGGCCTTTCGATTGTCAATATTGAGCAAGCTAATGTTTTAATAGGGATACACATCAATATTTTTCATTTAATGGCAATTATATTATGCGGTTGCTTAGTTATACTTTCAGATGTCGATTTTTGATGGCATTGTGTATACTATGAACAAAAGGAAGTAGGATTTGTTCGGTAAACTAGGAATATTTGATGAGATTCACAACGACTAACACAGGTTCATAAACGGCTTTAACGATTTAGCCATTTATTATGATGACATTCCCGTAGAGACTATTTGATATGACTATTGATATTCCTGTAGATACACGTGATGGAACTATACCTATATAATGGTGAAACTATTACCATAATCTAGAAATAGAGGTTGTTATATGAGTACCTGTGCAAGATCGTCCATTCTTGATGAGCTTTGATAATTCTTCTTTATCGAGTCAAGAATGGACGATCTTGCACAGGTACGAGTATAAGAAAGTTTTTCTCACATGACTCTGTAATATGCCATATTTTCAACTTTTTATGATAAAACTTAGTGAAAAATAGCTACTTCATTTTTCAATTGTTATGACGTCATACCAATATTGTAGAAACTACATGGATACGCATGGCAACAAAGCTACATTGTTATGGCGTCACAGCTAAGTTTTGTAGAATGAGCATGGATACGCATAGCAACGGTGTACTCGTTGCCATGTTGTTGAAGTTTATAAACCAGTGATGTCACAAGTAAATCTCATCTTGCACGTGTGACTTTTTAGGATGAAAGATGGCAATTTCTCATATGACTAACAAAGATACAGCCATCTTTACCCCATGCAAGATATTGCCATCCTTCATCCTAAAAAGTCACACGTGCAAGATGAGATTTACTTATGACATCACAGGTTTAAAAACATCATCAACATGACAACGGATACACCGTTACTATGAGTATCCATGCTCATTCTACAAAATAAGTTGTGACGTCATAACAATCGGACTTTGTTGCCACGCGTAGCCATGTATATTCTACAACATTGTTATGACGTAATAACAATTGAAAGATGAAGTTCCATTAATTTGAAGCGATTTTCACTCATTTTTATCATAAAAAGGTGAAAATATGGCATAATTTAGAGTCATATGAGAAAAACTTTCTTATAATCGTACCTGTGCAATATCGTCCATTCTTGACTCGCGTTGATAATGTTTCTTTATCTCGTCTTCGACTCAATAAAGAAGAATTATCAAAGCTCATCAAGAATGAACGATCTTGCACAGGTACTCATATAATAACCTCTATATCTTGCATGTAAAGATGGCTGTATCTTTGTTAGTCATATGAGAAAAATGTATCACTGTGGGCAATGCACTCATTTGTAATCAGTACATATCCACACATAACATACGTATACATGTCACGTGCAAGTATTTTGAGGACTTGGAAAATAGGAATAAAAAGAGACAGAGGGGATAGAGAGTTACACTGGAAGTTTCAAAACACTGTTACAATTTTCACATAATTCCATCATTTACAAATCTAAAGACTTTGAACAATGCTGATTCTTAAACCTTCAAAATTATAAAAATGTTTGATCAGCTACCATATTCTTACTCAAGTCTCTAACCAATTCTTGGCTAGAAGTAATTCCATCTGAAACACCGTGAACTATTGTATTTCCTTGGCCGCCGTTCAATAAATTTAAGTAATATTCTAAAAACCGTCTGTTTATATTTCAAGAATTGAAATGGTAACGGCTTGTCTTGTTGATGAGATATTGAACGTTTTCATTTAAAATAGACGTCGTCCCGTTCTCCATTTTGAAAGCATGCCTTATTTCCGCTTTAGCGAAAAGACAAGATGGCCGCGCTTGTTATAAAATATTTCTTTCAGTTTTATTTTAACCGCATTCTGCCCGAACATGGGCTTACCATGCAAAAATTAAGACAGCACTTTGCACGGACTTAGAACCACCATAATCGGCAGGTGCCCACCCTCTAGCTCCGGACTCGGAGCCACGCCAAAACCAGACTAAGGCTAGGACCACACACTGCACGAACCTAGACTCGCACCATACCCAGGCTTAGAACCACGCTCAATCCAGACTAAGGCTATTACCCTACCCGGACTTAGATCCGGACCAACCCGGACTTAGAACCACACTACATCCAGACTGCGGCTAGCATCCCAGCCGGACTTAGATCCGAACCAACCCGGACTTAGAACCACGCTCAATCCAGACTAAGGCTATCACCCTACCCGGACTTAGATCCGGACCAACCCGGACTTAGAACCACGCTCAATACAGACTAAGGCTTGTACCATTCCTGGACTTAGAACAGTACATTATGTGGACCTAGACTCGCAGCCCACCAAGCTTTGTAACCTTACCAACACTAAGAACCGCACCCCTACCAAGGCTATCACCCAGACTTAGACGCTCTATTCAACCTTACCTCCGGTAACCGTGTAGTAAAGGTCGATGTGTGTAGTGCCTCCACACGTGGCATTGCTACCCGGCCCGCTGCCTGGACATTTTGTACCGCATTCTGAAAACAAAAAAGGTTCTAGACTAAAAGTTATAAAAAGCCAAGACGTGAAAACGTCAATATCTCTAGTATTTTGGGAAATCCGATCCAAAATGACTAAAATGCTACAGATGAAGATGTGGGCCCTGATCTAAGGGGTTGAGTTCTCAATTATTTCGCTGAATGAGCCAGGTTACTGGTAGGTATTTACTATTTACCTGAATCAAGTCCACGTGTCGCTGAAATGTTGTAGATGTCGGAGCAGTAGGACTTCGCCCCTTGTAATCCCGCAAATGGGTAGCCACGGTCTCGACATTCTTCAACTCCAGTGTCTACTGTCATGTTTGCATTGGAACGTGTGGCGTCATGACTTTGAACAGTAGATGGGTAACAACCGAGATGTTTATAGGCAGATACACCTGAAATGCAGATGAAACGCTGGTCAGGCTAGAGGAACGTGTGGTCAGGCCCGTCGCCACGGGTCCTGCCCATTTTAGTCTAATAACGAAAAGTGTTGTAATTGCTGTCCCTTTTAGTGCAATTAGGAAACTTGTTGCCATCTTTTTTAGTCATGAGGACATATGTTGTCCTTTTAGTGCCAAAATAATGATGTCCAACGAAGAAAATTGTTGTCCTTTTAGTGCCATAAGGAACTTTAATTGTTATACTTTTAGTGCAATAAGGAAAATAGTTGTCATCTTTTAATGCAATAAGGAAAATTGTTGTCATCTTTTAATGCAATAAGGAAAATTGTTGCCAATTTTTAGTCATGAGGACATATGTTGTCCTTTTAGTGCCAAATATGATGTCCCACGAAGAAAATTGTTGTCCTTTTCCATAAAGAACATTAATTGTTGTGTTTTAGCGCAATAAGGAAAATAGTTGTCATCTTTAATGCAATAAGGAAAATTGTTATCTTTTAATGCAATAAGGAAAATTGTTGCCAATTTTTAGTCATGAGGACATATTATGTTGTCCTTTTAGTGCCATAAAAATTGATGTCCAACGAAGAAAATTGTTGTCCTTTTAGTGCCATAAGGAACATAATTATTTGGTGCAATAAGAAAAATTGTTGTCTTATTTAGTTTAAGCCTACCTTGGTTTATGATGCTGTTGTCATTTTTTAGCGAAATAAAAAATATTGACCATTTTAGTGCAATGAGGAAAATTGTTGTCCTTTTTAGTACAATACGGAATAAAGTTGTCCTTTTTTAGTACAATAAGGGACATGCCTGTACTTTTATACTTTTTAGTATACGTACAATAAAGAAAATTATTGTCCATCTTTAGAACAATACAGAAACAGACCTCCTAGACTTCCATCAACGCGAACATCAGTTCTGACCTCGCGAACTACGTTCCTTGCGCACCACCATTTCCTCTTTCCCGAACATATTTCGCCACTCACGAACAGAGATTGGTCAAAAAGGTCCGTAATTTTATTTGTATTATTACGCATTACTAAAATTCCAACTTAGTGTTTTTATTTGAATTTCGGAAGAGGTTTTTATATGAGTACCTGTACAAGATCGTCCATTCTTGATGAGCTTTGATAATTCTTCTTTATCGAGTCGCAGACGAGATAAAGAAACATTATCAAAGCGAGTCAAGAATGGACCATTTGCACAGGAACGAGTATAAGTAAGTTTTCCTCATATGACTCTGTATTATGCCACATTTTCACCTTTTTATAATAAAACTGAGTGAAAAATAGCTAAAAATTAATGGAACTTCATTTATCAATTGTTATGACGTCATAACAATATTGTAGAAAATACATGGATACGCGTGGCAACAAAGCTACATTGTTATGACGTGACAGCTAAGTTTTGTAGAATGAGCAGGGATACGCATAGCAACGGTGTACTTGTTGCCATGTTGTTGATGTTTATAAACCAGTGATGTCACAAGTAAATGTCATCTTGCACGTGTGACTTTTTAGGATAAAAGATGGCAATATCTTGCATGGGGTAAAGATGGCTGTATCTTTGTTAGTCATATGAGAAAACAGTATCTCCAAGCTCCAGTAAACACAAAACATAGACATTACTTGTGATCACACGAATTGGTATTTTTAGTGAAAGGGCTGGGTAATGAAACAAAAACATGGCTTTTTATTGGCTGCGGAGAGTTTATGACTCCATTGAAATAGATTATGTGTACATGTATACGGGTCAATGTAAATTTCAAAAAGACTCTTGTTGGAATCCCAAATACCCGGCATAGAGAAATATGTTCGGGAGCGAGGAAATGGTGGTGCGCGACTAAATATTTCACGTTCGCGACGTGAGAATCGTGGTTCGAGTGCAAGGAACGTAGTTTACGAGGTGAGAACCTATGTTCGCGTTGTTGGAAGTCTAGGAGGCGTGAGAAAGGATTTGACCTTCTTAGTATACAGTAACAGATGTCCTTCTTTAATAGTTGTTCTTCAGTGCAATTAAAAGAGATGTGATGTTTTATCCTACACTTAGTGTGCTAAATGTATAATAACATTAAAGAATACATTTGACATCTTTTGCCAAAGTGAATAACCGGAGAATATCGCCACGATATACCTACTCCGGAAAACCCAATATGCGGAGGATATTGTGACGATATACTCCGCTTGTTGATTTCCCGCCAAATTGACTCTATTTGCCATGAAATTCATTTTGCAATGATATACATTTAGTACACTCCATGTAAGTGTAGGATAATAAGAACATTGTATGATTTTTTTCAGAATATCATTCTAATCTACTCGGTGATATTGATATATGCACTTGTTCGCTTGGCTCTCTCGTGCAGATATCAATATCACCTCGTAGATAAAAATAATATTCCTCAAAATCGTAGGATATCCTTTAAATACCACATGCAACAACAGGCAACTCTTGTGAGAACTGGTCCATAGTGTTCAAAAATCAAGTCCTACTTATAACTAAAAAACAATATCTAATTGAGGCTCTATTGGAACAATGCGTGCCGGAGTTATTTCACTCCACAGACGAAAAGTCAACAACTTTCAATCGAAATTCAATATTGTATTTTATAACATACCTATGATGATGTTAGTGCAAAGTGTACACAAGACAGCGGGCCAATATAAGTTTTGAAAAGCCCGCGCCCGCTAACTTTCTGATTGGTCAAGGCGCTGACGTCATAACCAATCAATCGAATATAAAACTGCGCGAGCAATTTTTCTAAACTCATTTCAATCATTTTCAAACCATTTGTTTGTCAATTCTATAAGAAAACGGTACTCTCTGACCAGTCTGCATCACCAAAGGTATGTTATAAATCGTTTATGTCACTATCGTGGCACATATGCCCTCGGTTCTCAGAGATCAATGTCCCTCCCAAGGTCGGGCCATATATCACTGAGACCTCGGGCATATATGCCACGATAGTGACATAACCTCTAATTATTTCATTGTTTAGATATCGGTTTTAATAATCGTCTCCTTTAACTACAATAACTTATAATGGAATAATTGTTTTCCCAATGATTTCCTTATGTTAATAATCCTTATGTTATAATGGCCGTTCCGAGAGTCACGGTGCCCATGCCAATCTGCGCGCTTACTAGGCACGCAGTTTGAAACTCTGACAAACTGCGCGCATATTTCAAAATGGAAGACGGGGAGGACAAGACTCCCAAAAAAGCCAAAATACGAATAATACAAGGTTAGTCTTGTTCTTAAGATGGTACCATTCTGTGAAGAGTTCTCAATGTTGTTCCCGATGTAAACCTAGTTATCTCAATATAAGGGACTTAAGTAGCTTCTTCGTTCAAAATTTACAGTGTTAAGTTATATTTTAATTTTATGTCTTTTTATCGTCATTTGGCTTTCATTCAGCCACTGTATCTGTGTATGCTAGAATATATAGGATCACTCCATCTGATTAAAGCAGCAAATTTTGTGTTCAAAACGATAATACGCCATGGACGTGATTTAAACATTTTTCCTCAAAACTGCACGCCTATATTCACATGTATTTCCCAAACTGCGCTCCTAATATTTCCAAACTGTGTGTCTATCCAAGCTTGTATTTTCAGAAAACGTAAGCAATACTCCCTTTCCCTTTACAAGAAGAAGTCCGCAAAACTTGCCAGATACGAAGATAATATGCCCAGCCATCCATTCATGAAATTCCTTACTCTTATTTCAATCTTGAAGTAAAAGTTTTTTTCTTTTCCAACTGTTACAGTAACTTGAGTAAATTGTTACTTCTATGATAAACTTTGACTTTCAATATGCAAATCTCATAAAGTCTGACGATATAGCAGTAATTTCAAAGCACCTACATATGCCTCTGTAGAAATTCCAATGATAAGTACGTATACATGTATGTAGTTTAGATAGTGTATGCGTGCAGTTGGTAATTTCTGGCTAAAATAGGCGCGCGGTTTGTGCTTTATTTCATTTTAATCTCCCGATTAACTGTTTTAACTTTAAATCGAATTGTACATGATAACTGGGTAATTATTTAAATATAAAACAAGCCTGAAGTATTTTTCATTCATGTTTAATGTGCTAGATCGATTTATGCATAAATTCCCGTTATATCGGTGACGAAAATGCCATTAATCTGCTTATGTTTTAAAACTTAGATTCATTTGCACATAGTTTTTGCTAGTTTTTGCAAGATTCATATATTCACCACAGAATGAACGCATTAAACAAGAAAACAATGCAGTATAAATGCCTTAAAATTACGTTTCAAAATACAGACTCCAACTTGAATGATGCAATGTTGTTGGGCACGCAGTTTGTGATCGGAACAAACTGCGTGCTTAAGTAGGCGCGCAGATTGACATGGGCACCGTGAGAGTTATAACATGATGTATGTATTGATACATACACGCACTGGTACAAGTCCATGATAAACGTATCCAGTGATTAATAACTAAGAGTACATATAGTTATCATAATAACACGAAATCTTGCTAGACTGAGCTACACAATTCCAAATAAATCCTCTTTTTCAAATAGATCTTGCATATCAAAAACAATAACTGAATGGAATAAGCTTATATCAAATCTTAACATACCGTCAGCTCGAAATCAAGTTTGATTTATCGCCATTGTACAGCAATAATCACTTTATTTAAAAAGAGAAAAAAGTCATGCAAAAAATCCAGCACCATCTTTCTTCAACAGTACTTGAAGTTTGATACAAAGGTGATGATACTTCTGATTCCTTTGTTTAAATTGGTATATTAAGGACAAAAGTTGACAAAACTACACTTTTTGTGTTTGAATTTTTGATTTTGAATTTGTGTATGTTCATGCTAAGCTTTTGAACAGCAAAAAGCGTACTATTACAGGTCGAGTATATGTATTTTCATCACTAAAAGGGACATACCCGCTCTTGTGTAATTTATCCAAAGCAATAATTTACCCAAAATCATAGCATGCCCTCCAAATTAGTTTAGATTTACCAATATTGTATAATGGTACGTTCAATAACGCAAGTCGCAGTACGTGGCTGTTCCATCTTTTTGATTCCCCACTTGACATTGACAATTGCTAGGTCAGACCAAACCGCACATCCCATCACGTCAATACTACATGACACACGTCAGTGGCAGTATTCCATTGAGATATGGATCTTCAGAGACAATAGCAAAGATATAACTACAGTAAGAGAGATCTTGGAAATGTAAAGATAGACTTAAGGAAATCTATAATCGCTTATTCGTCGTGCTACAAAATACACTTAAGTGCTTCCTCAACAAACTGTGGCTTATTGTTTCAACCGATTGATTAAATGTATGTTTTACTTTGATTTCCCTCATTTTTCTAAAAGACTTAACTCAGGTAAGAATTGAACCGATTGTGTCTAGCGAATGTGCAGACGCTTTGTCAATTTTAAGCTAAACCATGGCAGACACACAGTATAGATGGAGGAAACACAAATAATATACCTCAATACCATACAAGATATTTTCGAGGATTAATTAAAGTACCATTCCACAAAAATGCTCATTTTTATTAGAATTCTTGTAAATGTTATCTTTACATGTTGAATGATTTTTTACAATTTTTTGATTTTTAAATTCGTCCACGAACTTCCAATATTTGACTTTCGATATTTTTGTTGTCAAATATCTATCAACTTTTCTTGATATTTCTAAATGATGATAATAGCTTGATATACAACATATTGACAGTTGATTCATTTATCTAATCACAATTACTATATTTACAGTACATTACAGCAATATGTCAATATCATGTCATATTCCAAATGTTCACAAGTCACATGTTCACCATCTATTGATTCTTTGCAGTTACTAAGGGACCACAGTCTGCATAGGATCGATAAAGGACAATTAAGTAAGTACCCATCTCATTCAGTCATCCTTCCCCTTATAACTGTAATTCTAATGTATGCAACATGTTTCAAAAATACTAAGTCGCAAGGCGGAAGTGGGGGGGGGTCGTTTTTTATTACTCATCTTATTTCAATACAATGTTAGTATTGTTTTAAACCTTATATATCGGGTGTCCCTAAAATGATAGACTTTTTGAAAAATAATTTTTCAGCAACTGATGAACCAAATTCACTGTAAATTTGTAGAAAGTAACCAAAGAGTATTATTAACAAGTTGTGAAATATAAAAAAGATCACGTAAACATTATTTGAGAACTAAGAAATTCAAAATTGCATGTCAAAAATTCCCACACCGAAGCTCTGCGATGAGGCCTCTATAGTGTTTGTACCAGGTATTCTCAAAATTCATTGGGTGTGATATTGTTAGAATATGAATATGAAAAAGTATTTTTGCTTCGAAATGGATTAATAAGTGACTTTTACATTGATATTGGTTATACATAATGTTGCTCCGGTATGGGATCTTTTGACATGCTATCTTGAAAGTACTTAAATAACATTTACTTGATTTTTTCATATTTTTGTACCTTGTTAACGATACTCTTGGGCTACTTTGTACTTTTGGAATCATCAGCTTTACATTTTTACAGTATTAATATATATTAATGTTTGTACAATATAATTAATAATAGACTTATAGAAAGTATTGTGCAGTGTTAAATATTTATCTCACCTATAATAATTTTAATTAAAAATTTAGGCATCCAATGAAATGTGATTATATTTGTTAAATATCGTGTACGTCCTAATTCCTCATTTTATAGGTGATAAAACAGTAAAATACCATCAACTGCATTTATCAATGCGGCCACTGGCCGTTGGCATCCCTAATTCGGGATATTTATGTATATGGACATTTTCTCAATCCGAGTTGGTCACCCCATATATCATATATTTAATATATACATTGTAGAAATAGGTATATTTCGCTAATAAAACTGGTTATTGAAATTGGAAATCAAAAGGAATAAAAATGTGGAGATACTTTTGATTTCAAAATGAAAGGTTTTGAGACTAACCTTTAAAGATTATAAATGTATTTCCAATATTAATCAACAGGATCAAGTACATCCGTCTTTTTTCAATTGCAGCCATTGTGTATTTACTTCAATAATGTCTTGCTGTAGTTAACAACAATCTATATTATCCGGCGGAACACTTATATCACTAGTCTATTTGTTCTTGTCTCTCGAAAATGTCCGGTAGTTCTGATACATCGTTTCTACATCATTGCATTGTCAGAATATATCGTTCTTTTCATTAACATGAAGGTTATAGTATAAATAATCCATTTTATATGTTTTCTGCTCTAGATCCAGAGATTCTTCTTCGCTCGCCAATCTCTGATTCTTATGCGCATGCGCCATTAGTGATCTTCAGACGCTGCGACAGCTACAAGCAGGTTTTTCCCACGAGGCCTCACACCAAGATCCAGTATAGGTCGTGTAAGTAAACCCGAACGACAACTTTATAGTAACCTCCATCAAATCATTCTCATTTACCAATCTGTAATTAATGACTCATATGCTTTGAGAAAATCTACCAATATCTTGCAGTTCAGAGTAAATATTACATATTATGAACATTTCCTTGTTTTATACACATCATTCGATATCGGATGACATTCAACCCAATTGAATTGGATTCTGAAATACTTCAGCAAATCTGTAATATACGTCTGTCTACTTATAAATAAAAGCTTTTCATTCAGTATGAAACAAAACAAATGGATGTGTTGGATGCCTATGAATGTTATGAAATCCTCACAATTAAGACATTCTCATGTGATTCACGGAGTGAGAAGTGTAGCTGAGTATCATGGGATTAAAACCGTCTCTGTCAATATCCATTGTTTTCACAACTTAACAAATTGATTGGAACGAAGCTTTCAAAAGCTCGTTCAATATACAGATGAACTATCCCGACAGGATTAAAAGAACAATCAGGTTGAACAAGCGTTCTATCATTGATTCGTCATAATTTGATGACTAGTGGGTCGCTTCCTCCATTGGTGTTTAATCGGCAATCTATATTGATTAATACCTCTATAGGATGACGTTTAATTAACATTATGGAGCAACATAAAGGATCTCCCATAAGGAATGCAATCTGTAAATGCCAAATTGTAAATCGTTTCCTGAGGAATGGAGTAACTAGAAGTGATAGTGTCTCAGTGTATTTAGTTTCAAGTGTTTTCATGAGCTTAAAGGAATTTGTCAGCTTCACGACAATGTATTGTATAGCCAGCTCTGTAGAATAGGATGCTTTCGTTACTGATCATTTTTACAATTTAGAAAAGATGGGAATCGTCATTTTAGCTAATTGAATTAAAAACGCATTTACATTAGAATTGATACTTGAATTATGACATATATTGTGCATTTTAATTTGAAGGTGGGTCGGAACTGGAAGGCAAATTTTGATTCGTCCATCATAAAAATCTCTTGAAACTACAACGTGGGCCAAAAAACAATACCCAGGTTTGAAGATAAATATCTGATTTTAATACAGATTCAGGAAAATTGAAATATATACTCCTGTATATACTCCTAAAAAAAGGTTAAGGACCAGTGGTTTTCTTCATAGGTTTACATGTTACTCCTCGTATTTGTTTGAACGGCTATTTTCTAGGCTTGGAACAAAAGAAAACCTGATAAAGTAAATAAATCTGTATCTTGATTCTATTCTCTATAAAGTCTGCAAAATTCAATGTTACATCTCCATTACAATGGGTCAAAATTTGATGTCAAAATTGATGAATTTCATGAAAGGACGATTCTCGGTTTGGAGAACAGTCTCCTGGGCTAATGATTTTTTTCATGAAAAATATAGAAATATTACCCAAATTAAACTATAAATATTCAAAAGAGGACATTTAAATCTACAAGATGTAAAAATAACAAATTGGTCTGAAGCAGGGATAACGCTCAATTAGACCGATTCAATAAGATACAAGTCTCGATTTGGGGAAAGAAGTTCATCAGTGTACTGCGCTAATATTTTTTTGCGAAAAATCCAGAAATATTACCCAAACTAAATTATGATTATTCAAAAGAAAACATTCGAATCTATATTATGTAAAGAAATCAAAGGACGATTCTCGGTTTGGAGAACGAAGTTCATCAATCTAAATGAGCATTATCCCTGCTTCGGACAAATTTGATATTTTTACATAATATAGATTTGAATGTCTTCTTTTGAATAGTCATAATTTAATTTGGGTAACATTTCTAGATTTTTTCGCAAAAAAATATTAGCGCAGTACACTGATGAATTTCTTTCCCCAAATCGAGACTTGTATTTTATTGAATCGGTCTAATTGAGCATTATCCCTGCTTCAGACCAATTTGTTATTTTTACATCTTGTAGATTTAAATCTCTTCTTTTGAATATTCATAGTTTAATTTGGGTAATATTTCTATATTTTTCATGAAAAAAATTATTAGCCCAGGAGACTGTTCTCCAAACCGAGAATCGTCCTTTGTCCGAAGCAGGGATAATGCTCATTTAGATTGATGAACTTCGTTCTCCAAACCGAGAATCGTCCTTTAGAAAAAATGGCAGACCCCATGTAAACCAATAGGAAATGGTTGGGTTGCCATATGTCATATGAGGAACGATCCATCCAACCGATTGCTTTCAAAATAAAAACTTTAAGAGACAATTAAATTTGCTAAATTGTCCACTGGACAAAAATATGATTTAATTTTCCAGGTTTTATAAAAGTTAATGGTTTCAAATTCAATAATTCTTTTAATGATAATCTTATTAAAATAACACAGGTGGACAGTGAGGTGGTCAAAATTACTTCAAAGCTCTGTATCGCTAATTTAACAATATAAGCGAGATAGGATAGGTATCGATATGGAGAACTGAATTCAACAATGTTTTTCTCTTAAACCAATCATTGAAAACATTCTGTAAAAAACATGGTAATTTATGTAATGTTGACTGATTGACAACAATTGAATGCGAAAATTATTTAGAAATATTTTATATAACTGTTTTTATATGAATTTTTGATGACTGGTTTAAGAGAAACGCGTGTTCAAAAAGTTCGCCATATCGATACCCATTCTTTATATTTTCTTTATATTTTCTACTGTTTCATGAAATTCATCAATTTTGACATCAAATTTTGACCTATTGTAATGGAGATATATAACATTGAATTTTGCAGACTTTATAGATAATAGAATAAAGATACAGATTTATTTACTTTATCCGGTTTTCTTTTGTTCCACGCTTGGAAAATAGTCGTTCAAACAAATATGGGGGCCAACATGTAAACCTATGAGGAAAACCATTGGTCCTTAACTTTTTTGAGGAGTATATATGCTTCACATATATAGTAAACTATCTACATTGACAGCCAACAATTACAGTTACAGTCTTGCTCAAGTTTCGGATTTAGTCAACCTGCATGTCTGAATACTAGTGAATACTGTCATACTGTCATGCATAACTTAAAAATTTAATAATCAAGCAGTAAACTATTGTACATATTTACAAAAAGCAAATTTTCAATTTTGTCACCTCAATTTTCGGGGAGACATCTCGTTGTTCTTCATGGTTTGAATTGTAGTATCGTCGTGATTGCGACCCGCGACCCATGGAGTGTCAAGATTTATTTTGATGGATTTTGAAATAATCAAGATTTGTCAAGATTTGTACGAGTGTTCACTTGGAGTGTTTCTCTCTTTAAAGGGGCAACAAGGACTGTAGAGAGGATATTTGAAAATATTTATTTTTTCTGAGCTATCAAGTCAATATTTTCTTAAAATGTATGTATAAGCTAATATCAATTTCAGCATATTAAGAAGTGTAAATTCAGCTCAAAGCTTCTATAAAGGGAGTCCCATAAATAGACTTTTAAGATCCACCACGTTTCAAGAGGAATATCAGCTGAAATAATGTTCATCCAGGGGGTTTCTTTGTAGATAATGAAAATATATGTTAGTCTTGATGAAATATCCAAACTCAAATCTATTTTGACACTGGTCTATGATCGTTGAATGCCCCCCCCCCTGTACTAATTATTGCACCTTTACCTTCATATACATGATACCCTTTGGGTCCGTTCGACGTTGCTTCTCAAAAAGAGCTGCGTCTTTTTTTAGTTTATTACTACAGTCTGCGCGCAGGCATCTTAGATTTCCAAGGTATGATGTGTTCATGTATGGAGGTTTCCCTGGAATGCTCCGATTGTTGGCAGATAATTGATCATGTTGCCATCTTTCAATCGCCCCAGCATTAATCAGATATGCATCATATATTTTGAAAAAAGGGATAAAGAACTTCGGTAAAATAATGGTCCATTTAGAGCTAGCTTGATAAGACGTATTTATGAACTGTTTTGGCTCTACTCAAAGTTGAGATTAAAGAACTCTTGTAGCTGATTACAAGAAGATTCATGGCTTTATGAGTCCTTCTGTGATCCTGAAATGTTGCAGATACATGTAAGTATGCCGGTGTAAAAGGGTAGGTGGTCCTATCAAATTTTGGTCCTACTCTCTATTGATTTATATGGTGACCTAATTACAATTATTCTCCTTATTATATATACACAGTCAGGGCCAGTAAGGAGAGGGGACCGTAATCCCCAGGGTACCATAATTTCTTTTACACCGGTAGGGTGAGGGGAGGGGCAGAAAGGCCAACTTGAAATTGTTGTATATTACGTACTCTACTTTACTGCTGCAGGGGGATCTCCCAAAGTCCAGTCTTGGATATTGGGCCACACGGTATCCGTGTGATATATCTATATAAGGGTTATTATATAGGACCATATAGGAATTCAATTTACTGTTTCCGCCATTTTGAATGTCATGTGATAGACTTCTTTTGACTCTACTGATTAAGTGTTGACATTTACTTGTTGACTTGGAATCCGTCCAGTGGGTTCATCCATCTTAGTCCCTAGTTTGACTGATTTAAACGTATGTGGTAAATGATTTCATGTCACCAATCAATGAATCTACCAATGGATTAGACTAGAGAATAATTCGTATTAAATTAAAGTTATATATTTCCAAGCAAATGATGTGTGTCGATAAATGAAAATATTGCAAGAAGTGCTGAATATTATGTACAATGATGATAATGACTAGAATCTCGTTGCAACGAGACTTGTGATCACGTGATAACATGTCGTCCATTTTGTCTACCAGTACTGCTTCAGTTCCAAATAGTAAGAGATGGCGCAAAGAATGGCATAAATCTGTAAATACAAATGAAATTACAAATAGAGATCTTCCAACGGTTATTATTCGTTCTTTTTATGAAACGTCCATACACAGTGAAACAAAAAGCAATCTAACATTAAAAGTTATTTTACTATATTTGTATGCTGGTCATACTTACATTCATAACTATGATGACGATTGATGAGGCCATATAGACATAAACTGCGTTTCCGAATTCAACAGTACTAGAATCTCCAAATACTGAAAACACAGGACATGGTTTTATGTGTTATTTTATGTGTTATTAAACAACACTGAAATTCATAAACTATAAATAAATTCACACAATGATGCAAATATCAATATCCAAGCATGTATTCACCTAGCAAAAGAATGATTTTCTATGAATAAAAAATTATCATAATTCCGCAGATTTACTATTTTCTCCCTAAAATCTGGATACCTTAAATACCGACCCTGCCTCCTAAATAAGTATAATAACTTTACTATTGATTTCATGACATAGTGTTATATACCAAATTGTTTGAAATTGTATAACCTTTAAAATTATATGTAAGTCAGTGTACCATATTGAATTTAACTATTTTTATCCTGATCTGAAGTTGGGTATTGTTTTTTTTGGCCCACCCTGTATTATATATACGGCACGGGGATTACTGATTAAATTTAATAAGCATACAAACGTGTATGTCCGAAATAAACATACCAAATGGATATATATGAAACACCAACTTCATCAAATGCACATCATTTTAATATGTTCATCCCAACTTTAATTTTATCCAATGAGAATATGTCTGTAACGCCTCTGGTCGATTAACATCATTACATTTTGTTAATTGTAATTTATTAACTAAGATATATTGGGAAATGGGAAAAGATCGTATGATTCAAGTGTTCTTTTGATTAACTTTTATTCGAGGATTAAACTGAAAAAAATATCAAACTAGATTTAGATGTTTTGTTTCTTCTCAAAAAATCTGTCTCAAAATATTGCATTGTGGGGAATATACTTACTGACAATGATAAGGTAGGAGACGAACTCATATATACAGAAGATCTCTATTAGGATTGTCCAGATCACCCACGGCAACAGGAAGTTTTTACTTTTCTGAAGAAAAACAAAAAACGGAAGGGGTAATACTATAGCTAGTATACCTTTTGGAAGTTTTCGATAAGATATATCTAAATTGGAATGTAACCTTGAAGCTGAAAGTACAAAACATGTACGAAACATCTATAGTCAATGAGTAAGCAATATTGCATTATGGCAAAAACATTTCATACATAGGGATGTCCCAGCATCGTATAATACAAATGAGTATGAGTGTGTTCCACTCTGATACAAGGAGGATTGGCTTCCAGAATGCAATCTCGATATTTTCCAACATCGCATCCGATCATTCTGACATTTTCATAGTTGAAAAATACTGAGTTGCGTCCCTGGGAGCCAATCCTCCTAGACTCTATCTACGAGGGGCCTCGCCCGTGGGGCCTCACGCCTGAACAACGTGGATGATCTCCATTTGGAAGGTGTCGATAAGGCATCATGATAAACCATGACATTCATTTCTTCTCAGCCCAGGTGAAACAGAAAGATGCTTGAGGTTGAGAATGTCGATAAGATATATCTTAATTGGAATGTAACCTTGAAGCCGATTCGATTTTAGTTAATAATATATTTTGTAGGTCGAAAGTTGTCGACTTCAGAGAATACAATCCCTGGCTCTGATTACACCATCAAGGTCATCTCAAACTTTATCAACAAACTACTAACGCTCAAGAGCGATTTCCGATTGTGTTATTTTTTTCATTTTCAGCAGGATTTAACGTACCTTGATACACCCCACGACTAGCAAGATGGCGAAGAGCATCCAAAGCGTGAATACAACCGTGGCGACGATCAGCTTTATGTACGTGTTGCGTTCTGGACCATCTGAATAACACAATGGTATGCAATAAATCATCATTATGTTCCTTTTTCAAAAGAATCGAAGCAATCGTTTTTGGAGAGCAGCATTGATCATCTAATGAGTTGATATGGTTGTCATTGAATAAATGTTTAAAAACCAATTAGCTTCATTGATTGGACGTATGCGTATACGTACCTATCTTGACGTCATCTTTGTAGAGTTGCAATGACGTCAGCCCGATGAAAACAAATGATATTGTGCTGAGAAGCTGGAAGTACAATGTTTGACACTTATATATAAACTGTGTAAGTGCCTAGTATCCACGAGAATTTATTGTCTTAGGGGGGGGGGGGGGGGGGGGTAGGATTTTGACATAGCATTGCTTTCCGGGAGCAGGGTGATGCATATACCCTTTAATCAGAATATTTTATGAATGCCAATCCTTAAAGCTAACACTCTCAACATTCGAATGGTGTATTCGGAACATTAGAATGAATTGTGGCATTCATTTAACCCTACTTTGTACAGGTATATCCATCCAATCGTCATGCGTTTCGACTACATCCAACAATGTGGAAACGTTTGAACCTCAGCAAGGTCGGATTCTGCTTTCTGTTTCTTGTTTCCTGCTCAAGGCGTTGGTAGATAAAACCACTCTAATTATATCTTATCGATGTGTTACTTATCTAAATTACAAAAACATTGAATATAAATAGTATCCGCTGGCGCATCATAGGGCATATCAGGTACATATCAAACAGCGTACATATAGAAAATAGGTGAATACCCGGTTAACGTTTATAATATCCGTTTAAACTGTTAACGTGTTTTTCTTCTCAATATGTTGTCCCATGTGCTTTTTGATTAAACAGATGATGAATACATCTTGAAATATATGCTCACATTAAACCAAAAGTACACAATATTTTCTCACACTAAAATATTATTATTAACCTATCATTTATTTATTTTTAGAGATTGGAATGTAAACAGGTAAGTTATTACGTCATGGCATGTTGTGAATCTCTGGTTCTGAATGGATCGGTTTATTTGAAACATTGCAATGTCTTATTTGGTAAGTCTAATGCACAATTCGTCAAAATTGGGCCTAGTTTCTATGCCATATACATCCATAGCAATGTTTTCAGTGTGGATAATCTTAAGACTATCTTCGGTGAACATGTACATAGCAAAGTCAAAAGCCGGTTAACAAATGTGTTCACCTGTTTTCTAGATTAGAAAACAATCACCTTTCTTTCAACTAAAATAAAGAATTCACCGTGGATAGGACGTTAAACAGGACTGCGATCTCAAGGCCAAAAGTAAAGTAATGATGCGCCGATGGAGTTGCGATGTTTGAGAAGAGAGAGGCGAAACGCGTCGCGGTTTCAGAAGCACGATATAGGTATTTCACAGAATTTGACACGATTTCGAAATAAATATTTTTGAATTTTCGACCATTTTGATCCCTTTTTGATGTTGCTTTGGGATAACAGGTGTACATGTCCAATTTTGCTCAAATGAGGCCGGTGGAATTCAATGTGAGATTTGCAAGAAATAAACAATTTTGATTTCACAGTTGAAAGTAAATAAAAGAGCTAATTAAACGTCCAAACACAATTAAAGAATTCTTCATTGTATCTAATAAAAAAAAGTAAAATTATGTTATAATCACTGCCATCACTCATTTTTGGGGAGACGGTATATGGATACTACTTGTGCAGGGGGAGCTTCATTTTGCCCCTTGAACATCATACAGTATCCATTTTGAAACGTAATCAACATTTCGCATTTCGCTATTCACATTTATTTAGAATATTGTACGGTATAATCAGTGACAGACTAATCAGGAACAATCTATTTTGAACTCCAAATAGCAATAACAGCGCGTTTCGTTTCGTTTCCAATAGTACAATAAGAAACAATTTAAACATGGAAATTTAAGAACAATCTTTTTTGATTGAATGTGAGCGGGTTTTGCATCCGGACAACCAGGTGAACTAAGACGAATGATAGCAAGATATAATCTGAACTTAAGATCACATTACTTCAAAGTATATAGTAAACCACGGCACAGCAAGATTCACGGCTAACCTCTGAATCAAGTTCCAAGCATGTTTACCACCGGCATTATATTCTAAAAATATTCCAGGTATTGCAGCAACGAAGTACGATAATGTAATCACAGACTCCATAAACGCTTCCTCTTTCAGGTAAACAACGTTGCAGTAAATACCAACACTATACTGATAAACGGTCGTTCAAGTTAGAAACAAACAACTCATATACGTTTTAAAACAGTGAACAAGTAACAATCGCATTGTTACGCCAGGAATTCAATTGCAAATAAAATATAATCAACAGCATTTATAGGCGACGCCTTTACTTCAAGAACATGAATCGAACATATGAACCGGTTCCTGTGTTAAGATAAATATTTTAGTTTTTGAAGGTAGTATGGGTGTAACATAACACATGAACAGCTAACAATCAGACCCATGAAACATGATTAATTCTATTATTCCTGAACTGGAAGGGTCGACTTGAGTTAAGGCAATTGTTTGGACCTCTGCTTCAGACTGAATGAATACATTCCATATATCATCAATCCTTGCTATCCTAGCAATCTTCGAAATAGTTTATGATGGAACTCGGTATGTTCTCATGCATATTTCAGAAATAAATAAATCATTTTATTGCAACAACTGTGTAAGGTATGCAAATACACTTTACCAGCCTCAGTTAAGCAGCACTACTATTACTCCGATTTCACGATTCTTCTTAGAAAAACGTTATGTGTATATACATTTTAAAGTGTTTTCACTAATGATTTTCTTCTTAGGTTACTTCAATTTTTTTTTCAAAGTACATTTAAAAGGCAGAAACAGTCAACTTAAAATATTTTTTTCACGAATGCTTGAAGGTACGATTTTTCTTTTTCCTTATTTCACTCCCATGGATTTGACTCTGAATCATAGTACAACACCTTTGTTACGTAAACGGAACTTCAAAAACGGTTAAGATCTGCTCTTTCAACCCGTTTCTTTATTTGTAATAAAAAAGGCAATAAAATTATTAAAATGCATTCGACTCAAAAATACTCATCAGTTTCATTTCGATGATTCCGTCGTCTTCTGAACTACATGTATGTGTTGGCAAACGTTAAACATATGATACGCCTACTGACACGTCACACACGTTTATGATAAAAATGTCGTGAAGATTCTGCCTAAAATTCGTGAAATAAGGAAAAAAGGAAATTGTACCTTCGAGGTCCGTTTCGGTAACTACTGTAGTTTAAAAAATGCAATTCCAGAGAATTTCAGCATTTGGCGATGATATAAAAGTTATGATAAACCGTACACTGATAAATTACTTGGCAATGCGTTTCAGAGGTTAATGTGATTACGTCTCTCGGAATTACTTATATGCACTGTTATATAACAAAGATATGTGTTGTCTGTCTAGTGTACAATCACGATAAACACAGATAAGTAGAATCTTAAATCGTCTTCCATGTAAAGATGCGCCATTCCTTTGATACACGTTCAATATAAACACCAAACACCATTCCCTCAAAGGCGCAAGCTTCATGCCCCACTTATAGACCATGAATAAAAATTGGATAGACACAAATAAAATAATTTAAACCGATTGGGCTATGGAACCCCGATATCTACCAGTTAACCCAACCACTACCGGTGTAAAAAATTATGGTCCCCTGGGGATTGTGGTCCCCTTTCCTTACGGCCTTTACTGGCCCTGATTGTGTATAAACAATAAGGAACATAATTGTAATTAGGTCACCATATAAATCAATAGAGAGTAGGACCAAAATTTGATAGGACAACCTACCCTTTTACACCGGGTACACGCGCATAAATAAAAATTAGATAAAAATGTCCCCGTAATTTAGTTGATGCACAGTTGAATGACCTACCAAGGTATATGCCGCACACAGGTAAGTTCCTATCTTCAAGGTGCAGCAACAGCAACAAGATTTCATCAACTGCATCGTGCCAGTAAGATCAAAGCGATCCTCAGAATCCCACAAATATGTGATAATCCGTTATTATGACGTATTAACAGGTTGCCCTCGACCTCTCTATCCACTACTAGTTTTGATCTTCAACTATTTTATAACTATTTCAATGATTTACTTCCAGTCTTTAATCGTGTGACTTTTTGTTTCTTTAATATTGTTTATATATTTAAAAAGCCTTGCTTTTACTATAACGCAACTTTCCACTTGCCGTTTTAATCACTTTGTTAACCTACTCGAGAGGCTGAATGTGTAGACTGTTCACATAGGAACTCTACTATATTTAGCACCCAGAGCTACAACCACGTATCTTCTTGTTAGATAACAGAAATCATAGTATTTCAAACATCCGGGGATCTATATTACACATCCGGGGATCTATATTATATTATTTACATATGTGAATTATGCACCGTCTCACGATATATCTCCAAGGAAAAGTTCATTCACGATGCACTCCATATGTGTAAACTATTATGCAGCCAAGTGCTTCAAATATTTTCGGCGTGGTTAAACCTCTTCCAGACGTAACATGCCTTTATCATGTAATAATACCATAACTAAGTTGATTATAGCCAAACGTTGACTGAACCAACGCAAAACATACTTAACATTCATTAGATGTGAGAGATTTATTGAGAACTTGTGATTTGAAGGAAACAAATTATTGTTTACATATTTAAAAAATCATCTTTCAATCTGACCTGTCTGTTTCTTATTTTCTATTCCAAATATATTAATAATAGTTATAACAATCAAAGTACTTGTATATGTAAAATGTATCTTCGAAACGTTCACTAATATAGTGCCTCTCTCTGATCTGTTTAGGAACCCAAATTTATGAAGACAAATTCATTGGAAATGAAGAACGATTTGACTTGTACTTTTTCAGTAACCATCCATTCACCCAAGTGATCTATAGTATAAGGATCATCAATCAGAATGTGCTTTCTCCGAAAGCGAGAAACTAGCAGTCCAAGAGTTCAGGCTGTGATCCCACAATGCAGGCACATTTAACAAACAAAACTTAACATTAACAAATAATCTGCCTACATTTACAACTAGATTGGAGCTTGCATTTCTCTTTCATTATCAAGAGAAAGTGAACATTAAAACGACATAAGACGTGGAAACTGAATTTTAAAGCCAGTTAAAAGTAACGATTTTTAACTTTCTCCAATCCGCGCAAAACCCTTTGTATACAAACACCTGATCTTAAATTTGGTGATAACTTGATCCCGCGTGTTGACAATCATGAACATCTCGGTCTTATACTAGATAAATGGGACCATTTTTAAGGTTTCCCAAATTGTATATAAAATTTATTAATATTATAAATCATGGTTGTCCCATCAGGGTTAATTGTTCAAGGGTCGATATATGGAAATAGGACAACCAATACTAGGGTTCAAGGTCCTACCAATGCTTTTAGATAATTGTCACCCTTGGATCTATATATCTCGGAACGGCCCGGGCCATAGGACCTTTAGTTCTATTACACCGGTGCATAGGCATGTAATGTCATAGCACTCCGACCATCTTTATATAGTCCTGGATGCAAGCAGTGTAACGATTGTGTCAATTTGTCAAATCATAAGAGGAAATACAACATCCGCCCGGTTATAGATCTAAAATGACATCCATCATTGATTCAACACAATGTTGACAAAATGTTTTTCAATCGATTTTGTAGTTGGCGTCCAGTTTCTTTTGCTTTTGCCATCCAGTCTATTGTGCTTTTGGCGTCCAGTCTATTGTGTTGTTGGCGTCCAGTCTATTGTGCTGTTGGCGTCAAGTATATTGTATTGTTGGCGTCGTCCATTCTATTGTGATGTTGGCATCCAGTCTATTGTGATGTTGGCGTCCAGTATATTGTGTTGTTGACGTCCAGTCTTTTGTGCTTTTGCCGCCAAGTCTGTTGTGCTTTTGCGTCCAGTCTATTGTGTTGTTGGCGTCCAGTCTACTGTGCTGCTGAAGTCAAGTCTATTGTATTGTTTGTTGGCGTCCAGTCTATTGTGTTGTTGGCGTCCAGTATATTGTACTGTTGACATCCAGTCTATTGTGATGTTGGCATCCAGTCTATTGTACTGTTGGTGTCCAGTCTATTGTGTTGTTGGCGTCTAGTCTATTGTGCTGTTGGCGTCAAGTCTATTGTGCTGTTGGCGTCCAGTATATTGTGTTGTTGGCGTCCAGTCTATTGTACTGTTGGCGTCAAGTCTATTGTATTGTTGGCGTCCAGTCTTTTGTGCTTTTGGCGTCCAGTCTGTTGTGCTTTTGCGTCCAGTCTATTGTGTAGTTGGCGTCCAGTCTATTGTGCTGTTGGCGTCAAGTCTATTGTTCGTTGGCGTCCAGTCTATTGTGTTGTTGGAGTCCAGTCTATAGATTGTGCTGTTGGCGTTCAGTCTATTGTGCTGTTGGCGTCCAGTCTATTGTGCTTTTGGCATCCAGTCTATTGTGTTATTGGCGTCCAGTCTATTGTGTTGTTGGCGTCCAGTATATTGTGCTGTTGGCGTCCAGTCTATTGTGCTTTTGGCATCCAGTCTATTGTGCTATTGGCGTCCAGTCTATTGTGTTGTTGGCGTCCAGTCCATTGTGCTGTTGGCGTCAAGTCTGTTGTGATGTTGGCGTCAAGTCTATTGTATTGTTGGCGTCCAGTCTGTTTTGCTTGTGCTTTTGGTGTCCGGTCTGTTGTGCTTTTGCGTCCTGTCTATTCTGTTGTTGGCGTCCAGTCTATTGTGTTGTTGGCGTCCAGTCTACTGTGCTGTTGGAGTCAAGTCTATTGTATTGTTGGCGTCCAGTCTATTGTACTGTTGGCGTCCAGTATATTGTACTGTTGACATCCAGTCTATTGTGATGTTGGTATCCAGTCTATTGTACTGTTGGTGTCCAGTCTATTGTGCTGTTGGCGCAAGGATTTTCCTGATGTATGCCTCAGACAGAATCAGAAGACCAGCCAGGATGTCGAAGATTCCCAAAATTATATAAGGAATGTCGTAACTGCCTAAGTACTGACGTATCGTGCCTGAAAATTTAAAAATACTCTTTGGAATTGAAAAATGATTTTTACAGTGATACACCATCTTCATTATAGCTGAGATATATTTTTAGGAAACTCGAATTCAAGATTTTAAGTATACACTGTGGCGGTGACCATAAGTTATTCCATTGATGACATAATTAAAGAATATACACAAAATTGGATTATTCTTACCAATAACTGGCGTAGTCAACGAATACGCCAGACCAAAAAAGATTAACATTTGACCAAATCCGGCAGAGAGTCTCTCTTTTCCCAACCAATCAACGAATACGACCGCCATCAATGCTATGAATGGGCCTCCAAAGAATCCAAACACCGACGCAGCCAAGAAGAATACGCCATCAAACTTTATAAATGGTAATAGAATACTAAACACTCCTGGAATGATCAGGGTTATAGCCATCATAGTCGATGGCTTAATCACCTTGGTGTCTGCAATAAGTCCACACACTATTCGTCCAACGAAATCACCAACTCCGATGACAGACATGACAATTGCTGTCAAATTCTTTGAAATACCTTCATCATTACAATATGGCGGGAGAAAAATGAACTGATTTGAATATGCGCAATTGGCAAGAAACATGGCAATACTGAATATTAAAAATATGGGGTTTTTCATTAATTTGTAATCAAATAGGGGTGGTTGATCTGTATTCGTACTTGAACCACAGCAGTTTAAGTGTTGCAGACAACCACTTCTCTTAATGATAGTTCTGTCCTCGTCACCAGGTTCACGATTCATATTTCTTTTAGTTGAGTCAACTATCAAATGTCTATGGAGATATTGTTTTCTGGTAGCTACGCTCTGTAATGAGGCATCTATTATCGAGAGATTACTCCCATACTCCCAAGCTAAATGGGCAAATGATTTGGATATTTTCTTGAGATTGAGTTCATCCCCTTGTGTATGTAATTTTTGCCTTTCCGTACTCTGATTAATTTGAGGCATGGATACAGAGTTCTGCCTGTTTAGCAGAAGTCTTTTGTTCAATACATTCGGCATTGCATCTACCGACCCTCCTTCTTTATAATTATTTGATTCAATATTTGTGTATAAATGAGATACTGAACCTGGCTCCACACACATCGATCCATCTTGATTTTGATATACAGTGCCATCTTTATTTTTGCATTTATTCGAGTTCTTTCCTTCGGTATAGAATGATAGCGGACGATAAAGAGCCCCACTGACGATAATGTTAAACATCAGGGCACCCAAAATGAGCAGGGCATTTTTGTATCCATACTGATCAAGAAGCACCCTTAGTAAGGGTGGCATGGCGAGAGAGCCAATAGCACCTCCAGTAACAGCGATGGCGTTGCTGATGGCTCGTCTCTTTTCGAAATATAAGGCTACCATTACAAGACTTGGTCCATAAACCAACCCTACCCCGATACCTGGAATTATAATATTTATATTTTACTATTTATGTCATACGTATTATGCATACAATTGCAAGCTATATAATTTGTCTAAAATAATCAACAAGTGTCCCAAAAAGTTATTTTGGGCAGTACAATGACTTGTTTTAGTTGCTATACCTTGATATCGCAACCAGTGACAGGATCAGTACAATTTTGCATATGGGCAATGGGCAATATGTTTGTGATATCCTGTAAATATGAACTGATATGGTTGATTAAAGAGGGAGATAGAAACATGTTATAAGTCCAGTCATTTTTGTTGGGATGTGTTGCTGTGGCAACGGATTTCTCGAGTCCTGCAGTCGTTAGGCTCCATCAGACACCTAGAGGTGGACAGGTGTATATACCAAAATATATATTGGGAGTGGCTGTGCATTTCAAAGCTTGTCAGAAAAGAAATTTTTGGACAGATTTTTAACTCCCCTTTAACTATCAGTCCAAATACACATCCGATTATGCCGAAATATCCAGATATTCCAAAAGTTGTTTGCTTTGTACTAATACCTTGATATTTGAGAATTAGAGAATCTGCGTCCAGATTTCAGTTTGCGTATTAGTTACAATGAATACAATGGTGACGTGATATACAATGGTGATGGTGCTACTCTGATAGCAATGAGACCAGTACACATATCTGTCAATACACTTACCACAAACGAATCCGTAGAACAGAATAACTAGTCCAATGTTGGGTGACACGGCTGCAAGGATACAACCGATTCCAGACAAGAAGCCGCCGAACATGACGACCACCCTATTCGTGTATCTCCGGCTGAACCCAGCGGCAAATGGAGCTGG